CTGCCGGAGGCCCGTCGGACTGCATCAGCTGTGGGGATGAAGACCACAACTCCCATGATTCCACTCAGTCACGGCATGCCTTTGTCTCTTTGTTTGTTTTGAATATGCGCCCTCCAGCTGCGAAAATCACATATTGTGCCTTTAAATTCCAGATATAGCTAATTATTATTATATCATTATAGCCTATAATAATAATAATAATAATAATAATAATAATAATAATAATAGGCTTATAATAATAATAATAATAATAATAATTTGTTGTTGTTATTATTATTATTATTATTTTATTACTACTACTACTGATAGAGAAAGATGCTGTTAGCAGCCAGATGATGTAGCTACAATACCAGCAAAGATTTTTCGAACTTTTTTCGAAAGAAAGAAAGAAACCTGTAATTTCAACTGTCAAAGGAATGAGGAGAAATCCCACTCAAAACATATGCTGGAATATTTTCCACCAAAAGCAATATTATTCAAACTATGTGGTATCCCAGGGTTTACTAGCCCTAAGCACTGCAGTCACGCCATCTGCGCTGAAACATTCGTTGCGCGTCTACATAGCGTTGCGTGGTAGTGATGGCCATGAAGCTTCGAAACCTTTCCAAATCATTTCTCTTAAAAAGAGTGGGTAGGAGCGCGTATCAAACTGAAACCACAGTCAATTCATCGATACTAATAGGCTAATTAAAAAAGTTATTACTACTACTACTGATAGAGAAAGATGCTGTTAGCAGCCAGATGATGTAGCTACAATACCAGCAAAGATTTTTCGAACTTTTTTCGAAAGAAAGAAAGAAACCTGTAATTTCAACTGTCAAAGGAATGAGGAGAAAGACATCATGCAGGCACTTCTTATTTAATGGTATTTTATTGTTTAATTGTATTTAATGCATTAAACTCTCAATAAAACATTTGCAGTGGGTTTGAAAAATGTTTTTGTAAAATATTTTATGCATGTTTTGGCCTGAGACACTTGGTGCTGGTATACATATAAAAAAATGTATAAAGAAAAAATAAAATAGTAGTCTGCAAATTATTGTTCTACATCTCCCCAACTACAACTGTGGTCATTTTTATGTTGCTTTACTGTTTCATTCTTTAATAATTGCATGCCAAAATCATGACCAATACTATTTACTACCTCACTCTGCAGACATTTTTAAAAAATCATAAAAAATTGCATCAAATTGTTTTCTGCAAACTCCAACAGATTCTTGTTCTACATCTTCTTAAGCACCACTGTGTTGATTTTCATGTTGCTTTACTGTTTCATTATTTAATAATTGATTTTTATTTTCTTTCTCTTTATGAATTTTTAAAATATGTATACCAACACCAAGTGTCTCAGGCCAAAACATGCATAAAACATTTTACAAAAACATTTTACAAACCCATTGCAAATGTTTTATTGAACGTTTAATAGGCCTACATTAAATACAATTAAACGATAAAATACCATTAAATAAGAAGTGCCTGTATAATGTGTTTTTTTTTTTATTCGCCTACTATTATCGATTAATTGACTGTGGTTTCAGTTTGATACGCGCTCCGACCCACTCTTTTTTTTTTTTTTTTTTATGATTTGGAAAGGTTTAAAGCAGTTAACGCGGCGGACCTGAGCCACGTGATGAGTTTGCTATGACAAACAGCTTCGCCTTCAAAATAAGGGAAAAAAGCTACTGGACAGACCACTCGTCCATTAACTCTTTTCGCTGTTTATTTTGTATTCTCAAAGCTCTTAAAATGTGGTATCCTTTCCTTGTGATTCTTGTTCTCTCGTCTACAATTGATTTATCAAATCAGGATGTGATTGATAACATACTTATGAGTTTATCCAAGGGAATCACATACTTTGACATGCAGAGCAGAAACATCAACCTGGACGGTGTTGTTGGATACCTAATACTTCAAGGTAAGCCATTATTTTACAGATTGGATTTTTTTTTAATCACTTTGTTTACTTGATTTTTTTGAGTGCCACTTTAGGCTACGTTTGAATGAACATTGTTTCAACTTCATACTGATCGTAATTACCAATGTGCGGTATTTTTATCACTCATGTAACTTTTAAGAGACTTTCATTTCAATGGACCGACATTGGACTCGGTTGTGAAATCAACTGAGCAATGGCCTTTTTAATGGAATTATATTTGTCGTTGCGAAGTCCGTTGAGGTTCTCCTCGCGCAATCAATATTATTCTGTTAGCTGATTATCATTTACCTCAATGACGATTAAAAAAAAAAACACTAAAGTGTTTTTGTGATTAGCCTACATTTGTGATATGTAAATCCAATAAAAGAAATAACAATTTTGTCGTTTTACCCCTCCGATAATGAACTGCAAGCGCTCGAGCAAGCAACGGACTGTTGGTTACTCCAGCAGTTAAACGCGACCGATTCTGTTCATTTTTAGCGCACTCTGGCAGAACTTGTCATGTAGGATAACTTTTCTGATTACTAAAACGTTGTCTGAAAAGGATGTTTAAAGATGAGTGAAAACAAACAAATGTATAAAAAAAAAAAAAAAAAAATTTTTTGGACCCCAACGTTTTATTTTGATTTCTTTTTGGAGGATTAAATAGGCTACTTAATTTGGGGGCTCAAACCCCCCCAGAATCCACTGAGCTGAACTTCTGAAGTAAACAGTCCATCAATGGTTCACCATTAGGCTTCTTTCCACTTATATAACTCAGCGCAGCTGCAGGAGGCAACACGAACTTGGCCGCATTCAGATTTTCTGAGTCTCTCTCAGCGCGCAGCTGCTGTTTCGATGTTGAAGAGACTGAAGAAGAGCCTTTCTACTGCCGTCAGCGCTCTTCAGGAGACAGACCCCAAATACTTCAAAGGTAAGGCTCTTTGGGGGGAAGATCTATTCTAAACAGTCTAATAATGGCACAGAAAACATGAACTGTTTCTCCTACAGAGTTTGAGCCCATTTTGGACAGCTCCTTCTGGTCCCTGCCTGCAGAATGGAGCTCCACAGATCCCTCACTTGTTTATACCTCAGTGAGGTCTGGACCCCAACGTTTTATTTTGATTTCTTTTTGGAGGATTAAATAGGCTACTTAATTTGGGGGCTCAAACCCCCCCAGAATCCACTGAGCTGAACTTCTGAAGTAAACAGTCCATCAATGGTTCACCATTAGGCTTCTTTCCACTTATATAACTCAGCGCAGCTGCAGGAGGCAACACGAACTTGGCCGCATTCAGATTTTCTGAGTCTCTCTCAGCGCGCAGCTGCTGTTTCGATGTTGAAGAGACTGAAGAAGAGCCTTTCTACTGCCGTCAGCGCTCTTCAGGAGACAGACCCCAAATACTTCAAAGGTAAGGCTCTTTGGGGGGAAGATCTATTCTAAACAGTCTAATAATGGCACAGAAAACATGAACTGTTTCTCCTACAGAGTTTGAGCCCATTTTGGACAGCTCCTTCTGGTCCCTGCCTGCAGAATGGAGCTCCACAGATCCCTCACTTGTTTATACCTCAGTGAGGTCTATGGAGTGCTATGATGAGCAGTTGAGTGACAAGTGCATGACGCTCCTTCTAGGAACATGGTAAGAAGATTATAGCATAAAAGAAAAAAATAGCATCAAAAAGTTATAAAAAATCAGTCAATACCACAACTGTTATTTTATCGCAAGGAAAGACAATGGAACCCCATGTATTGTGACTAAGTCTTGTAGAGACACGATGACACAATTTGGATGTCCGCACTATTCCCTGTCCCACCAGCTACTGTACTTCATGATAGGAACGATGGTAACGCATCCTTAATAACCTTCACTGTAGTATTAGCAATTGACTGTTTACCCTTTGTTCAGAAGAGAAAGCATCATATTTTCTTATGTGCCCTGAAGTAAATCTGTGTGGTTTCAGTCTGACACTTGTGTCCTCAGAAAGGGTGCTCCAGAATGCTCAAGGGGGACCTGAGATTGTCTCGTGTCAACATTACTGTGGAATATTATAAGAGAATCTTCTGCTCCAACATGATGAAAAGCAACCAGGATATTTTCAAGAATGTTATTACTGGACAAATGCAGGACATCTTTATAGAAGACAGTTAGTATAAGCTATGTTATGAACAAAGTTAGTTATATATATAGTTATGAACAAATTATTGGAGAAAGATTTGGTTACATCTTATAAGATAATATCCACTTACTGTATCTTTTTTTTTAATTGAATTATTTATTTTGCAGTTCTTTTATGTGGTTTAGTGGGATTCTCAGACTTCTATAAATTGGACTGGTTACAATCTATTCTAACATGGCAAGACCAAGAAGCAGGCTGTTTTGGCAAAGAAGGTGAGTTGAGTGCATTTTAAATATATATAAAATCATATCCTAATGTTTATCAACTGGATATTAAATAAAATCCTTGAACTATACAGGTGTGAATCACCTTTTAAACTGTATGTTGCATATTGGTTTTCCCCCTTAGAGGACATCTCCCAGATCTTTGAGGAATTCTTGGATGCGCCCCACAAACGGGTGAAAAGAAGAGAAAAAACACTGACAGGTGTTTGTTTGCTCTTAAAGCAATAGTTCACCCAAAAATAACAATTTGCTGAAAAGTTTCTCACCCTCAAGCCATCCGACATATAGATGAGTTTGTTTCTTTAGAAATTCAGCATTACTTGCTTACCAATGGATCCTCTGCAGTGAATGGGTGCCGTCAGAATAAGAGTCCAAACAGCCGATAAAAACATCGCAATAATCCACACAATTCGTCAATTAGCATCTTGTGAAACAAACAGCTGCGTGTTTGTAATAAACAAATTAATTGAGATGTTTTTAACTTCAAAAAAGTAATCTCGTTAAAATCAGGTGAGAAATATGTACAGATCAAGCACTATTTACAAGCATAAACTGTCCAAACTGGTTATTATGATGTTTTTATCAGCTGTTTGGACTCTCATTCTGATGGCACCCATTCACTGCAGAGCATCCATTGGTGAGCAAGTGATGTAATGCTAATTAAATTTCTCCAAATGTTTTCCAATGAAGAAACAAACTCATCTACATTTTGCATTGTTTGAGGGTGAATCCATTTTTTTTGTTTCATTTTTGGGTGAACTATTCCTTTAATGTTGCAGTTGTTAATGTTCATTTTTATTTGGTTAATGTCAAGTGATTATATAGTTTCAAACTAACACATGTTTCTTTTCATAGATGGCTGCTCAAGTCATATGACAGGAGTTGCAGTGAGTGCATTAGGAGGTTTTCTCAACTATTACCTTTCAGAGCAGGACATAACGAAGAGACCCTTGATTTAAGGGCCATGCTTCATGATGAGATAATGGTGACAGAACTCAAGCCTGGCTCACACTACAGGATTTTTAGCCCGATTTAGCCGATTTTCCCCTCCCGAGAATCAGAGCAAAAATCTTGTCGAGCACCTCGATCGGCCCCGTTGTTCGGCGTTCCTTCTTTATCAGGCTTTACAGATACATTTAGTATTTATTCTTTCCTCTATGATCAATTTTCTGTGAAAGTGTAGTAGATTTAGTAGATTT